AAAATTATTTACGCGGTTTCTATTCAGTAACTTTCAGAAATAAGCACGCTAAATGCGCAGTTAGCGTCCACCGAGTAGTTAAACGCAATTAGAAGCGGTTATATCCAGTTATGTCTGGTTTGCGCTAACTTGCGAGGCGGGGCGACAGGATTTACAAACACACAAGTTGAACTAAGTTGGAATGAATAAGCAGGAGGTGGTAAAGGCAGCAAGTAAAACAGTGGCGCCTGTGGCGTGTCACGCGATGCAGCTGGGGTTTACTTTGTGAGTGCAACGAACTTTCTGGACCAAGATTGACTCTTCGGCGGGTGTGCTAGATTTAGTATTGTTTGAAGAAACAAGACAGTGTGATAGAATAGTAGATAATAGTCATTATCAGCCACTTGCACTTCAATTACAGGTGATCCGTCTGCTCGATTGCCTCCTGTCCCATTAAATAAACTTACAGGCTGGAAGTCACCCCCAAGGAGTGCCAAAAAGTACTATCGCCTACTTTTTTTTCCATTGCCAGTTCCATTCAGTTTTATCAATTGGTAACTTACTTATTTGTATTGAAGCTAATCAAATTGATATGAGTTACTAATTCTATAAACTTATTTTAACTTGGCATATCAAAAACTTTACTTATCTACATAATGTTGTGATAAATGAACTTTTACTATCATGTATTTATTTAACACGTTGTACGTGGTTGCGAAATGATCATAATTTTTATTACTATAAAGTTTAAATTGCAAATTGTCGTGTTACCGCTGATTGGACATGAATTTATAAAACTAGTTACAATACAGATGTGAAGAGAAGGTGTTATTGGTCAAGCTGTAGATTTACAGTGGAGGTAGAATAGAATGAAAGTTGTGGGACTAGACCCCTCTGTCCCCTTACTGTGTTTACTATGGATATCCGTAACCGTAACCGATTCAAAAGTTTCGGATAAAAGCGGAGCCTAAATTTTTTTTTTTTTATAATTGTTACTTATCTAGCATTCCCTGGCACCTTTCTAATATCCCCGCCTGTTTTATAGTGGTGTCGTCATAGCTCATAAAGTGGCTATTTGGGTCGCGTAGCATCTTGCTATTTGAATTTAACATTTTTACAATCCTAATATCCGTAACTGAAACTATCCGAAACTTTCGGATAATCCGAAATGATTTCATATCCGTAACCGTAACCGAAACCGGTATAATATTATTCTAATATCCGTAACCGTATCAAAATCAAAATAAAAATCAAGATCTTCTGAATAATTTCATTGTGTATCAAATAACAGTTTAATTTCCCTCCGGGACAAACTCAGCCTTCATTGCTTTGGTTTTTAGTGGCAGTCAAGCTGTAGATCCTGGCTATAAGTACAGGAGTTGCAGCGATGGGAAACAGGGGTGGGGATAGTTCCACAATTGGATACCAGATGGAATGAGCCTACTGTGTTAATCTGTCCCATAAAACTGTTGGTAATTTTATTTGTCGAGTTTATTATCACGTGATGGGCTCGCAAACAATTGTCGTTTAATTCTGATGAACGATGTTGATTGGACACTCGAAACTATTATTTTAGCCGTGGAAATACACCATTTGCAATTATTTTCACAACGCTGCTGGGGAGGCCATGTTATTGTATTCGTACACTTGGAGCTTTGTGAAAAGAAATAATTAAATTATCGTACTTATAATCGCTACGATAATAGCCTTTAATGGTATTGGCTGACAAAAAGTCTGACTATTTTTTTTTCTCATCATAGCCGACATGTTGTCCCAAAGTAGTGATAGAGCAAACTTTACATGGGACGATTTTAACTTACATTTTTGCAACCTGTGCAAGTGATTTGAAAAAGGTCTACTAAATAAATTATACAGGTTATTTACAGAATGTACTAGAATCTAGACTAATAATAACTGTAAGTGGTTTACTCCGTCTAGTAGTTGCTCATGTACAGTTAGCTTCAAATAGTTCGTGATGTCCAAAATAGTCAAAAACTTCGCGACACGTATAAGGTTGTGTTGTCAACTTTTTGGCCATTTGGGTGTCACGAAGTATTTGACGCTGACTGTACAGGAAAATGAAATGTATTTCCAATCTTTTTATACATGAGCAACCAGTCCATCAACTTCTACGAATCCTCGAATACCTACTAATTTATAAGAAGAAAATGGCGGACGTTTTTTATCGTACTCACAAAATTGACCTTTAGATAACAATCCTATTTTGACAACGCTTCCTTTGTACATCTCAAGTCTATTCAGGTCATGTAGTTCTGAGAAAATTGTCTGTGGTAGACGGACAGACACGAGAGTTTTCTTGAGTTCATTACCTACTTGTATGGAACTCGTAAAAATAGTTTTTATTACTCGGGGATAATGGGCATGATTAATGGGCAGAAATCGATCGCACGAATGTCAAATACTCGTTCGTTCGTTTCAGCCAAATGACGTCCACTGCTGGACAAAGGCCTCCCCCAAGGTTTTCGACAATGAACGGTCCTGCGCTGCCCGCATCCAGGCTCTTCCCGCCCGACCTTCACCAGATCGTCGGTCCACCTAGTAGGCCTGCCTGCCCACGCTACGTTTTCCAGCCCGTGGTCGCCACTCGAGAACTTTTCTGCCTCAACGGCCATCGTCTCTTCGAGCTATGTGCCCCGCCCACTGCCACTTGATTTTAGCAATGGGGATGTTGCCTGGGTCAAAAAGCAAGAGTTTTAATTAGTCCGTCAGTTAACTTATCAAAAAATACTCTATACGTATTTTTCACTTTTTCAAACTAATGAAAATTTAAAGAGATAAAGCGCCCCAAAGTTCATAAGAAGAGGCCCGTGACGTCAACGCTTGCTAAAAAATGCCGCACGTTGTGACGTCGTGCGCAACTTCAACGCACCATAACTATGTAATTATTTGTTAGATTGACAAATAAAATTATATGTGTCCAATATTTTTTGATATTAAACATTACGGACTAAAAAAATTTTTTTAGGCAACTAGCCTATTCTGCGAGCTATGTCGGTCACTTTGGTTCTCCTCTGATTAGTTCACGCAGGGAAACTCCGAGCATAGCCCTCTCCATCGCCCTTTGGGTCACCTTGGGCCTTCTTATGAGCCTCGAATGCTCGTATTTAAGTAAAAATAATATTTTTTATTCTTAACTGAGTAGAGCAAAAAGAAATACATTTGTTTTCTTTCGCGAACGCTTTACTAATTGAATATTTTTTTTTATTTAAACACACTTTCTTGCCAAAGCGTTCCAGTACTTATTTAAAATGTAAATGTTGCAGTACTGTAAAACTGTGCATAACAATAACAGAAAAATGTCTGAAAATGTTAATATTTCTCGGGAGCATTCAGCTTGATTACCATAATGACATTCGTGATTTTATACGGCAGTCGCACAATGTATATGACAGCTCACTAAAAAGTGATATAAAAGCCATAATGCAGAGATCAGAATTGCCGCGTTTATGTCTTCAATATACTGGTGTTAATTAAATGGCATCTTCTAAGAACGGGACCTTTCCACCTCTCATTATTACCGCTGCATTTTAACTTAGCTTCTATATTTTGACCCGCAAATTCTATCAGAAGAAAATATGTAGAGAAAGTCCCTCAAAAGTAAAAAGAACGATAGCGATAGTTGCTAATGAAATTTAAAGAAAGAGAAAAGATATACCTACATAGAAGAAGAAGTGTGCATCAAGACAATATGAATGTTTGAAGAATTTAATTCCCATTAGACTTTGAACGATAGATAAGATTAAAATTAGAAACGTCATTTTGTGTCCACAAACAAACGGTTGGTCATTTTAATAGCCACAAAAGTAGCGATAAAGCAACCGCAATAAGGTTCACGGGTTATGAATTTTCTTATTTACAATTTGGTGCAGTCCTTTATTAAGCTGTTTTGTTGCTGCATAAATTGCACGGGAAAATTTTGGAGTTTCATATTTTAATTTTCCCTACCCTAAAAGGGACTCTTTGTATGTGTTTGGTTGTTGATTTTTTTTGTTATAGCACGACTCTAATTCATCAGATGCAAATGGAAGATTCGGTATATACTCCACGTTTGTCAGGCGGGTTAAAGAGGCCTGATGTTCGCAAAATTGTTTCTTAATCGTCGTAATTCTACATTGCCTCAACAACACCAAGATAGGGCATCTTATCATCAGCACCATTATGATCATTTGGTACCGCCTCTATTTTACCAGAGGCAATTTTGCCTACACATCTACCATATCTATCACTTACTGCGGCTCATGTTCTGTCAGCAACTCCTCAAAGTGCACGCGTATGGTGTGCGCAGGCGGTGCACGTAGTAGTGTCACGCAGTCCGCATCGTCTGGGTAGGAGCGCGGGAAGCCGGGGCTCGACACTATAGTGTGTCACTAGCGAGACACTAAAGTACTACGGAACTATTCCCACCTCTCGTTTCCTCCGCTGCAAATCCTGTGTAGCCAGGATCTACAGCTTGCCCACAAATAAAAAGCCAATCGATTAAGGCCAAGTTTGTCCCGGGGGAAAGGTAAGCTAACATTGGACCCGCAATGAATTGAATCCGAAGAACATAGGATGAGTTCGAAGTTAAGGATCGACTTCCCTCCACTGTAAAGGTACACTTAAGAATATTACTCACTGCGGCTCATGTTCTGTCAGTAGCTCCTCAAAATGGACGCGTATGGTGTGCGCAGGTGGTGCACGTAGTAGTGTCACACAGTCGGCATCGTCTAGGTAGGGGCGAGGGAAGCCGGGGCTCGACACTATGGTGTGGCATAAGCGGGACATAAAAATATTATGGAACTATTCCCACCTCTCGTTCCCTCCGCTGCAAATCCTGTGTAGCCAGGAACTAACAGCTTGCCCAAAAATAAAACCCAATCGATTAAGGCCAAGTTTGTCCCGGGGGAAATGTAAGCTAACATTGGACCCGCAACGAAATGAATCCGAAGAACATAGGAGGAGTTGGAAGTTAAGGATCGACTTCTCTCCGCTGTAAAGGTACACTTAAGAATATTACTCACTGTGGTTCATGTTCTGTCAGCAGCTCTTCAAAGTGCACGCGTATGGTGTGGGCGGGCGGCGCTCGCAGTAGTGTCACACAGTCCGCATCGTCTGGGTAGGGGCGAGGGAAGCCGGGGCTCGACACTATGGTGTGGCATAAGCGGGACACAAAAATATTACGGAACTATTCCCACCTCTCGTTCCCTCCGCTGCAAATCCTGTGTAGCCAGGAACTAACAGCTTGCCCAAAAATAAAACCCAATCGATGAAGGCCAAGTATATCTTGGGAGAAAGGTTAGCTGTCATTGGACGCGCATCTAAACAGAAGAAGAACATAGGAGCAGTTCGAAGTTAAGGATCAACTTCGATGCAAAGGTAACCTAAAAACCTAAAAAATAATTATATCACTTACTGTGGCTCATGTTCAGTCAGCAGCTCCTCAAAATGCACGCGTATGGTGTGCGCGGGCGGTGCTCGCAGTAGTGTCACGCAGTCGGCATCGTCTGGGTAGGGGCGAGGGAAGCCGGGGCTCGACACGATGGCGTGCGGCCGCGAGCGGGACACCACTATCGTCTCGTTGCACTGGATCTTGGACGCTGTGTATGGATCTGCAAGAAAGAATTTCGGTTTAAAAAAGGAACAGTTAAAAAAAAGAACAGCAAAAGTCATAAAGATCGTTCTTTTTTCAAATAGATACCTAGGGTTTACAATGGTTTTTAACGTTCCACGTCGAAAGACGTAGCGTGGACAGGCCTCCCACTAGGTGGACCGACGATCTGTTAAAGGTCGCGCGAAGAGCCTGAATGCGGGCAGCGCAGGACCGGTCGTTATGGAAATCCTTGGGGGAGGCCTCTGTCCAGCAGTGGACGTCATTTGGCTGAAACGAACGAACGAACGATAACGTTCCATCGTTATTATTTTTTTAAGTTGTTTATTAAAAAAAAAGAGAATGTTAAAGTTACAATACTATGGACCAGTGCTGAAAAGAAAATCACTACTTCGATCATCGGCGCACTCATTCACTATATAATGCAAATTATGATACGAAATATGCAAAAAGTAAACGAGATCACTAACCGAATGACCGATCGTGAATAAAGATAAATATAGGTAATATTTACTTAAAACGACACGTTTGCAATCCACATGAAACATTCTGCATTCCAATCCAAATATTCCGGTCATACTAATTGAATAACGGTCACATGTCGCCGGCGCAAATAAACCATGATATTGCGAGAAATGCATTTTATTTTTATGGGATTATGACAGTTTTAATTTATTGGTCAGCATGGGGATATTAGGCGAAATTTTTTATTTACTTTGGTCAACTAGTGAGTCGTGCTTCTACAGTGAAGAATTAATGAGATGATGATGAATTTATTGGGAACGGATAAAGCAAGCAGCGTACTGGAAAACGCAGCGTGGGACACCCATACACAAGGTGGACCGACGACATCATAAAGGTAGCAGGAAGGCGCTGGACGCAGGCCGCTACCAACCGGGCAACATGGAAAGCATTGGGGGAGGCCTATGTTCAGCAGTGAACGTCCTGTGGCTGAGATGATGATGATGACAACTAAGTTCGCTCAACTTAGTTGGTTATATAATTGACATAATATTTGTTTTAAGGACTGAAACAATCTCAAAGAGTCCTAAAAACACGAAATGATTTAACGCTCTAAATCCCTCGAATAAAACTTTCAAGGTCCTAGAGTTGCGCAAAACCAACTCTCCTTCTATGACAATATTTTATTTCCATTAAACTACCTTAATATGTGGGATGAGGAAAACGCTTGTATCCATTACAAGAGTATTAGCCCCATGGGAAGACGAGCAGCCACTTAGGCTACCATCGAAAATTATTAGACATTTCAAGGTTTTAAATTACATTAATGTGAAATCTATCCGAGCATGGGCTGGAAGACGTAGCGTAAGCAGGCCTCCTACTAGGTGAACCGACGATCTGGTGAAGGTCGCGCGAAGAGCCTGGTCTGGATGCGGGCAGCGCAGGACCGTTAATTGTGGAAAACCTTGGAGGAGGCCTTTGTCCAGCAGTGGACGTCATTTGGCTGAAACAAACGAACGAACGAAATCTATCAACTTTTAACTAGAGTGAAGCAATTATAATACCTAAATATATGACACACCACAAGAGCCTTTACAAATGTAGCTATTTTGTAAAATAGAGAGTCAAAGAGTTATCCAAAGAAAACCCCATCTAAAGCAAAAGCTTGTAATCTCAAAAAATACTATTCTATTTCCATTCCATTCCATAACCAAATGGCTGTTCGGGTGTGGAACGCTACCAGTATATTTTATTTCGCGAATTTCCTATTTCGAGTTTGCGACCAACTTTCCCGGCCTTTGTTCAAACTATTTTTCCAAGTACCCTCAATACGGATACAGCAAAAAGGTAGAGCAAGCCCGCTTTGTTCACGGTAGTAGGTGATTATGGAGTTACAGGTGTCTACATCTCTTTATGGGCAAATTCTTGAATAATTTATATTCCAACAGACAGATACCAATACAACTTAATTTATATTTGATGTGATTAAAATATTAAATATTAATTTATTGCAAAAAAACGAATAATGCATTCAAGCATACCAGGAATTATTAGATATAGTGTAGTCCAGTCAATAAAGTATTAAAGAGGGATATACGTGGAACACAATTTCTGACTACGGGACTTCATTTAGGCTAAAGCCTGGTCCGTGAGCACGTATATTCCCGTCCAATGACCCCAAGCTGCCCATCCCTATCGCTCGCGCGTAATTATGTTGTCGCTGTAGCGCTCGAACACTCACTGAGTGTTCGAGCGCGACAGCAACATAACGGGACATGGACGGGATTCTACGTGCTCACGGACCAGGCTTTAGTAAGGAGGTCCTATTTTCCCAGGTCAGAAATGTAAGTAAACACACAGCACGCAAGTAAATTAATTATGGAATTATAGGAGTTCACTTCTGCACTATTTTCTTCGACAGATCAAAAGCACAACTTGTGCACATTTTAAAATTTTAAGAAACATACGAGTATTTGATAATAAACCTTAATTTGCTTTAACCCATGTAACGTCGCCACAATCAGGTGCCACAAACGAGGTTACTGCATCCATGCGCATCGCGCACCGTGGAACTAGTATAACGTTGTTGAGCAACGGTATTGAATAACGAATCATTGTTTCCAGTATTCAAATGTTGTTATCGTCGGTCGCAGTCTTTTGTGCAGCCGCGAAGTTGTCGCAACTAAATAATTAGAATGCGTTGGTTGAGTTGTCCTGACCTTCTGGTTGTGAGTTGTGACAATGATGCAGTTGAAGTTCTTGTGGGGCTTTTCGCGATATGAAAACGTGGGTTTAAATTGAATATGACTGTCTCGCCGCAAATGTGGTTTTCTTGTGCAGTGGTATAGAAGATAGACATAATCTATTGCAAGGTCTAAATACAACAGTTTGACGTGTTAATTTGCATGCATGTTCACGAGCTTTTGCACATTTTTGAGCTGATAATTTTACTGTGTTCTGAAACTTTAATCGTACCGACATTTAACGATGAGTATGATCAGTCTGGCAATATGAATATACGTGCAGCTAGCATAAAACTGAAGGTAGGTATACGAATAATATCCGATCTCACGATGTTATCGATTTGTTAAGTAAACGTGTAATTGCACAATTTTTTTCCAAGTTTTAATTGTTATAAATACGTAGTGTTCACCAGCTCTAAGCCGACGATCCAGTGTATTTCAGCCTTTATAAAACAGCGTCAACTCCAAGCGACAATTTGGTGTCCTTTGATCACTATGACCTGGGGTGATCAAAGTGTACTGGGATCATGGAGTCTTAGTCTACGTCAGAAGGACTTGGTAAGCGGCATGCGGTAAAAATATCGGAGGATTTTTGATGTTTGTCAAAGTATTATTTGGGTGCAACCCAGGCATAATCTAACATTATCAATTATCGTGCCGTTAAAAACATTCTCCTGAAATAAAGTGAATCAGCTCTAAGCTTGTATGTATGTATGAAGTGTATTTCAGACTTTAGAAAACAGCGCCTAGACGCGTGGCATTTGTTTAATCCGCGGTGAGCACGAATTGACGTCATCTGATTTGACAGTGAGCCAGGGGTGGCGTGTAGAGACGCGAGCGAGCCACAGCTGTGAACACCGGCTCTCGGCTTAGTGATCGACGGCTCTACGTCAGGACTGGTTAAGCGGCATGCGATAAAAATGACGGTATTTCGTCATGCCCCCACGCGTGCTTTAAAATATGACGAAAAGATGAGGTGTTGTGGCGAAGACTTTAAAAGTGATTGCTTTGGAGATTTATGGACTTGATGGCAGTTGTAACGTTTTACTTGTGGGTTACAAGTTTAGTTTTAAGTTTGATACTTAACGCAATATTGTTTGATCTTCAAATACTTACTTATCTTCCAAAATATGTTTTAGCCATCAACTTCACTACCTTTTTATTGAACTAACATACAATGCCTTATGGCATTAAGTTCGCCTAATGTTAATATTTTTGGCATTGAAGTATAAATAAATAAATAAAATAAACAATCGATGTCATGAACTTACGAGTAAACTGAAACTTCATCCAACATAAAATTGTTTAAACTCCTCAATATTCTCTCACATTGCCCGCGTCTTTCCACGATAAACATTGCAAGTAAGTACTACACTATGTCCACAATAGATCAAACCTGGTCGAGCTGGCGCAAATAAAGGCCCAAAAACCAATAATAATAAGTACTACACTTCTCCATTAAACACCTCGTTAATCTAAAAATGTTTATTGGAGCAATAAATGTAAAACCCCTCAACCCAGTTTGCCGTCATTATTCTGCTTTGACGCGGACCCGATATTGCTCGGACATCTTGACTTGGCTTCCAATGCTTTATTCTTGAGTACACAATATTGCTTTTACAAGAACTGTTCTTAAGTATTATGAAAATATTATTCTAATAATAGTATATCAGTATAAATACATAAAATTATAATGTAAAATAAATAAAAATTAAAAATTCATGAAATTCATTTATTTTTGCAAATAGGCTTTTAGAAAGCACTTTTACACGTCCCAATATTAACCCTACCACTGCTTCGGGACAATAAATGGGCCAGTGCTGAGAAGAAGCAGCGCAAGAAACTCAGTCACTATTGTCAGCCTCCTTTTCAAGGGTTTACAGTCTTTAGAATATACAAAAAATTATAATCATAAGTATTGATGCGAGCTAGGTAGTTAAACATTCCAAACATTTTTATCTTTTATATAATCATCAACTTTATAGTAGCCCTTTTTCATTAAGGTGCTTTTGATATGTGCTTTAAATTTATGAATGGGCAATTCTACAACAGTTTGTGGTAATTTATTGAAAAGTTTAATACATTTCCCCATAAATGAATCACCAATATTGTGCAGTCTGAAATTTGGAACGGCAAGTTTATTTTTGTTTCTTGTATTGAACTTGTGTAAATCACTCTTTCTAGTAAATTGCTCTATATTTTTGCGAACATAAAAAAGGTTTTCATAAATGAACTGTGAAGCTACTGTCAGTATATTAATCTCCTTAAAGAATTCTCTCAAGGAAAATCGGGGTCC